CCTCACACTGGACACCAGACTGGGATACCGACGGACCGACCCCGACAATCTGGGTGCAACAGACAGGACGTGACATGACTCTGGATGAACAGCTGTGATGTGACGTGGCTCTGGACGAACAGCTGAGACGTGACGAGGCTCTGGATGAACAGCTGAGACGTGACGAGGCTCTGGATGAACAGCTGAGACTTGACTGGACTCATGAAGATCAGTTGCAACTTGACTTGACTCATGAAGATCAGCTGTGACTTGACTTCTGAATATCAGCTGCGACTTGACTTGACTCATGAATATCAGCTGCGACTTGACTAGATTCATGAATATCAGCTGCGACTTGACTTGACTCATGAATATCAGCTGCGACTTGACTAGATTCATGAATATCAGCTGCGACTTGACTTGACTCATGAAGATCAGCTGTGACTTGACTAGATTCATGAATATCAGTGGTGACTTGACTGAACTCAGGAAGAACAGCTGTGACTAGATTTGACTCGTGAAGATCAGCTGTGACTAGACTTGACCCATGATAACGAATTGTAACTTGACTCATGACGATCAACTGTGACTTGACTAACACACACACACGCACACACAAACACCTAATCATCCTTTTATCTCTCTTTTAACACACACACACTGATTTTCTCTTTTATGAATCTTGTTTAAAAAACAAACTGTCAGTATAGACTGTCCTTTAAAAAAATCTATATTAATTTCTGTCCAGCTGGATTGAGTATAAAGTGTTTGAGTCTTTGTTATCGCACTGAGCAGTCTAGACCCTAGAATAAGAATGTATCCCCTATATGTGAATCTGCTGTACGTTTCTGGAGTTTGACATTGTTTGCAATTGCTTAATGTACAGACTCCATCTACACTTCTGTTTTGTAAATATCAGCTATTTAAACTTAAATTAACAGAATATCTAACCTTCTAAAATATAAGCAGAATTGTCATTTTCTTTGTTTCTTTTCGTTTATAATTTTTTTTTATATACCTGCCAGTATTACTAGTGTGTCCCTAAAAAGTATTTGGACAATTAATTTATTATTATATGACAAGATCTAAAATAAGCACAGATCTAAAAATAAAGTAAAAAAAGTATTTTAAGTAAAATCTTGGTTTTGGTAAATTACTCTCCTCCCGTAAAAGACGTCTTCTGTGTATTGCCTTCTCTCCTCTTCTGAAAAAGTACACTTTTTTCTCTTAAGTAGCCTTTAATCTTCTTTTGTCTTATCTGCAAATACTTTTTTTTTTTAAATATATACTTTTAAGATTTGAAGTACACTGCAAGTGCACATTCAGTAGAATTAAGCACACTTCTATTTCACAAAGATCTTGAAGTTTCCTGATGGGAGTGTATTGTCCGCCGGACAGTTCAGCTGTTGTGCTGTTGATGGATCATGGGCAGAACCTCCGAGCATGGTTTTAAAATCCTGTACTGATGAACGGAAGAACTCTCTCTCTCTCTCACTCATATTCTCTGCATGTGTCTATAGTGCTTTAGTGAGTGAATTTCCTGCGCCCCCCCAAAAGAGGAGTTCAAGGTGTAGTGGTCTTCAGCGCCCCCTTGCTGAGCCAAAAAGAGAGTTAGTTTATCCATCATAATTATTTTTTCATGTTAAGATAGTACTTTATATACAGAAAGAAAGACATTTTGAAGAATCTATATGCAAAAACTAATTCTTTAGCTCTCAAACTTTATTCTCGCACATATTTGAAATGGCGTGAGAACAAAAATACATTTCGTAACACTTTTCAGTGTGTCTAAGATTTATTGTTATTATTTTTTTAATCCATTTTCTTAAAGGAACACTCCACTATTTTTGAAAATAGGCTAATTTTCCAACTCCCCTAGAGTTAAACAGTTGAGGTTTACCGTTTTCGAATCCATTCAGCCGATCTCCGGGTCTGGCGGTAGCACTTTAGTGCAGTAGGCGCAATGATGTTATGCAGCTCCTGAAAATAGGCTTATTGGAAATTACCTAGCTGGGGACTATTTTCAGGCGCTGCGTAATATCATTGCGCCTGCTGCACCCATGGTACGGCAGCAAAATTCCTTGATTATTATGCTGGAATGGGAGTATAGTTTCTAGCCATATCAGCCTAGAAAATCGCAATTTTTCATTTTCCCTCGGTCTTAGTACACGATATAACTACAGAAGAGTAAAGTTTTAAATAGGAAAAATATCGAAACTCTTTGGTCATTTTTGAGCGAGATGCTAACGGTCTAATCAGTTTCAATGATCTATGCTAAGCTACAGCTAAAAGTGCTACCGCCAGACCCGGAGATCGGCTGAATTGATTCGAAAACGGTAAAACTCAACTGTTTAACTCTAGGGGAGTTGGAAAATTAGCCTATTTTCAAAAATAGTGGAGTGTTCCTATAAGCTGTTGTTAACATTGTGAAAAAAAAGTCTGCTTAATTGTGTTGAACAATTAAGCTCATCAGTTAAAATCTTAATTTGAAATCTTACAATGCAATGTTTTTAGACACTTATTCATTATAATCAGTTCACACTTTTGCTAAAGGCTACTTCTTTTTCACACGGGTAGTTTATTCCTAATCTCTCTCTGTCTCTGCCAGATCATAGAGGATGGGCTGTGTGCAATGTAAGGACAAAGAGGCTGCTAAGTTAACCGAGGACCGGGACACCAGCTTGTCTCAGAGCGGAGTGGGTTATCGTTATGGCGTCGACCCCACACCACAGCATTACCCCAGCTTCAGCGCGGTCACTGGGGTCACCGCTATTCCCAACTACAACAACTTCCATGGCGCTGGGGTCACGCAGGGTGTGACAGTCTTTGGAGGGATCAACACATCCACACAGCAGGGAACGCTCCGCACACGAGGAGGCACAGGTAGACTTTTCATACAGTCCCAACTACCCAAACCTCATACCATTGTTTGATTAAGTGTTTCTTTGTTAAGCTGCTCAAACAAGCTCAGTGTTTTAGTCGCCTGTGATGACCATATCAGAGCAGACCTGTCTAACTACACAATGAGACACTGACATAAATACAAAAAAATGTGTTGTCTAAGCAGAATAAAGCCTCCATTGTTGCCAGATGTTCTTTAGAAACATGTAATTTGGTGACCTGAGAAATTAAATAGATTGACAAATTGGCTAAAATTCAAATGGAGGAAATTTTCATTGCATAATTTATTAACAGAAAGACCTTGAGTGCGTCATCTTACCCAATGCCCATAATTGTCCATGAATTTGCCTATTAATGTCTTGACGTACACAGCTTTCTTTCTCATAAAAATGAAGTTTTTTTGTTGTTGTTGTTTTGTTTTTTGGCATCTATGATTTCTTTAAGAACCTTTAACTTTCATCACGGTGAAAAATAACGTGTTCAATTTATTAAAGCATTTAACGCACTTGCCCCGCCCCAGACCTATGTGGGTCATCTGACATTTCATACAGCTGATTGATGACAAATATGATACAGGGCAACATGGAGCCTAGAGAACATAGTTAGAATGTCCCTAAAAGTCAAGATATGGGGAAAAATGCCCGTTTCAGTTGTTTTCTCATATTCACATCATATAGTTTAGCAATATCACACGAGCAATAGGCTAAGTGCAATATCACACGAGTGATGATACTGATCTTATACAACAATTCAGTAAGTAAGAAGTTAATATGGCATTATTTTAGACACAATGTTGTCTGTTTTGCTCAATTTTGCCAACGAAAATATAAAGACAAAGCAGAACTGTTCGTCTCCGAGCAACACACAGCGGCATTTCATTTCTTAATGCACGTTTTGAATGAATTGGGTGAACTATTTGGCACGTTGAACCATTGGCCATAGGCGCGTTGGATTTGAAGCGGCGCTACACTGATCGATCAGTGTGTGACATCAAAGGACCGTGAGAGCGATTCAAAAGCATAAGGAGCCGTCTGCTCTCTATTATCTCTCGCGGTTAGCAATATCACACGAGCAATAGGCTAAGTGCAATATCACACGAGTGATGATACTGATCTTATACAACAATTCAGTAAGTAAGAAGTTAATATGGCGTTATTTTAGACACAATGTTGTCTGTTTTGCTCAATTTTGCCAACGAAAATATAAAGACAAAGCAGAACTGTTCGTCTCCGAGCAACACACAGCGGCATTTCATTTCTTAATGCACGTTTTGAATGAATTGGGTGAACTATTTGGCACGTTGAACCATTGGCCATAGGCGCGTTGGATTTGAAGCGGCGCTACACTGATCGATCAGTGTATGGCATCAAAGGGCACCGCGAGAGCGATTCAAAAGCATAAGGAGCCATCTGCTCTCTATTATCTCTCGCGGTACTTTAATGTCACACACCGATCGGTCTTATGGTGATGATCCGCTTCATGTGGAACAAGCCTAATGATTCAAAGGACCATTCATAAAGAACCATTTACTTCACTCCTGAATGAATCAGCCCTTTGAACTAATCGAATGAATAAATGACTTAATCATTAAGACATTTATCACCACCTACCGGCAGTTTATTATTTAGAGTATCATTTCATTAAAGAAATAATTTCATATTTCCATAGTAATAATAATAATAATAATAATAGAAGTTATTAAAGGTATCACCCACCCAAAAATGGGAAAAAATTGTGTCATCATTTACTCATCCTCATGGTCAAAAAGAGTATATGCGATAAACTTTGTTGAATCAAACAAAATATTTCTTGCTGAAGCTACTTTTTGTAATGTTTGTTTGATGCTTTACACAACATTGACTTTAAATTATCTTTTGGGAGTAAATTCTCAGTGTAATGTGCGGTTAATTACATTAATCACTCACCAGCCCTAAAATTTTTTATTTTTATTTTTTCATATTATTAGCATTTCTTCACACTAAGGTCCTTTGGGGAACCCAAAATATTTATTTAATATTTTTGAGAGTGTGTGCTGATATTTTTCTTATTTAAAAGAAGTTGTGGTGGGACACATCAAAAAACTTGACCTTTAAAAAAAATTATAATAATAAAATTGTCAGTAACCTTAAGCTTATCCTTAGGGGTCGTGAACTGAGAAACCAAAATTCCCTTGATCTTTTGACATACAAGAGGTTCAGAACTCAAAACTTTCTCGTTAGTCTAACAACAGCTTATATTGAAGGCAGTTTTCCAAAATGTCAGCTTGTGGAATGTATCACTGTATGATGTAATAGTGTCCACAGAAGAAGATCGACATCTTCTGTTTAGCCCCACCCACCGATTCGCGCATGTAGTGTTTACGAGAGAGGTGAACTCGCAGGTCTATACAGAAACCAAACGATAAAGATGCTCCGAATACATCAAGACGCTGTTCAGTGCCAAGTTGTAGAAAAAACGTTTGCGTTGCCTTCCTTCGGATCCCAACGTTAGGAAAGAGTGGTGAGTTGTGAACACACAAGTGTAAGTAACTGTTTTTATTACGTGACCACTATTGCTTTGTCTGTTAAACAGATCATTTGATATGAGTATTTATGTGTTTTTAACCTAAATCACTGCAGCTTCCATCTGTGCAGGACTGTCAAACATATACAACTATTAGCCAATCACAGCAGTGGGCGCTTACTTCCGAGTCTACAATCCTCCACGTCTATTCAAACAGAGCGTTCTGATGAGGCAGGTTAAAAACAGGACAGAAAATAGCTTATTACTTCTAAATTATGATGTTTTTTATGTAAAAATCTTGATAACATTGTAAGGGGACCTCAGAGAACAGTACAAAATAAAAAACAATGTCTGTTCATGACTCCTTTAAAACCTACTGTGACCCCTATAGGGGACAACTTGTCATGAGATGGCCACGATCAATAAAGAACTTTTAAAGATGGGTTATCAGTTATGATCTGCGGCTAAATGTTGAGGTTGATTGCTTCACATTCCTGTCTTACTGAATATGTGCTTAATGACAGATTTTAGGTTTGGGTTCCATCTAATGAGGGGTTTGGTTTGCTTGTGTCCCATTACTCTGGGTCTAGTATGTCGTGACCAAATATCTCAAATCTTACGGGAGTCATTCGAGGCACAGCAAAATCAAAATGACAGCAGTTAAGATGACTTAGCATTGCCAGACCGGACAAATGCTACCCATCCCGATCCCACACAGCTTTGTTTATAACATCCCGGTGGGAGAGGTGTCGCTTCCAGCTCATCCCTCTTAAGGTACTTTTAGACCAGACATCATTCAGTGCTGTGTATCAGTGTGCTGGTCTTTGTGTGTCTGTGTATTGTGGTGGATTGGTGCTCTTGAATCAGTCTTGACTCTTATAATGGCTCCTGCAGGCCCTAATTGCAGGTCTTGAATGTCATTTGATCTGTCTGAAAGCCTCTGCAGACCAAAATGGCTTTTTCTTTGCTAGTGCTCACGCTGCACTTTGGATGTCTCTTAATCCTCATGGTGCTGATGTGGTCTTTCTCTCTCTCTGTTTGTCTCAGGTGTAACTCTGTTTGTTGCTCTCTATGATTATGAGGCCCGTACAGAAGACGATCTCAGTTTCAGTAAAGGCGAGAAGTTTCAAATCATCAATAGCACGTAAGTCTAAGACCTGAAACATAAAGCATGTCCAAAATGGAAAATTAGCTCACTGCTTATTCACTTAAACTGAATAATGTCAAAGCCCCTTTAAGGCTATTCAGTTCACCCGGCAACCGTATTCCTAACACCCCCATACAGCTATTTTCAGCCGTTGCAAGAACAGTTTCTATGTACTTGAATGGAGAAAAACAGACGTCTGTTTAACTGTTTGAATAAATTATGTTTAAATTACATTTTTAGAGTCGAGACAACCTGATCTCATGAGAAAATCTAACTATTTTACATGGTGACGATTTCATGGGAATTCGTACAATGTGATTTGTATAGAAAATTACTTTTTTAACTGTAAGTTGGCACTTGTTTTTCCTAGCCATATTTTTCCCATTTATACATATATGAGTGGATCGTCTTTGCTTCGTACAGTCTGTACAAATAATAACAGTATGCTACATTGTTACATGACTGATCATAAAGTATGCAAATGGTGACCAGTTATCATGTTGCAAATAAATATTGGTACTGTAGATTAAATGGTGTCCAATCAAATAATATGTTGTGATAGAGATGTTAAAGGAAGAAAGTGTAATATGCGCACATCCAAAAAGCTTTAGGCAGGTGCTCAATCACATGGAGTACTTCACTGTCAATAAACAAAAATCAGCACTACTGCTCTCCAAAAAGAAGTTTATTAAAATCACAACGTTTCCACTAGGGCTGCACGATAAATCGAAATGGAATCGAGATCGCAATTCGACAGAAGCTGCGATTGTCATGCGTATCTTTCAGTGAAGCACGGTTCTGTGATCAGCAGTAAATCTCCATCCAAAGGCCAGAGGGCGCTCTCGCGCTGAAACTCCAAATACGTCTCGTAGAAGAATCGCTGCAGCTGAATAAACAGAAGATTCAACTGCTTTCATTGATTCTACATGACTAATAAACACACGACTACGGCAATATATAGTTTATCTGTGATGTAATGCCAATAAACAAAAATCAGCACACTGCCACTACTGCTCTCAAAAATAAGTTTATTAAAAACACAACGTTTCAACTCTAAGGTCTTCGTCAGGCAAACAAGAAGTGATCAGTAGAGTACAATTTTTATCAACATGGTCTATCACACCTGATACAATTCATCAAACAAATTACCCAATCATCCAGTGAATGAAAGCGAAAAGGAAAAAAATAAAAATAAAACAACAATAATAATCAATATATACATAATGTCCCAAATCGCAAAAAGGGTTTCAAGTCAAATTCCAAAAGTAAAGCTTTTGGAGAAAGAGTATTTAATGTATAGATGTAGAACGCTTCCCTCTGTAATAAGATTTTATTGATCTGGGTACTTTCACTTATCGAAGAGTCGACAAATTATGCTTGAAAGCATTGAAATTAACGGCAATGGGGTTCTTTTGGTCATTCAACCGTGATCCAACATTAACTTTTAAGAATGAAATACATGATATATTGCAAGAATTTCTTCAAAGAGGTGATATTTTGAAAAATTAATTAGAATTTTTAAAAGTTGATTATCCAATCACACCTGTGATGTTTTACCTAAAATACACAAGGACCAGGTAGACCTATTATTGCAGTCATGGGTTCATTAACAATAAAAAATATGTTCAAAGTCTTCCTTTTGTGCAGGACTCTATTGATATGATTAAAATACTACAGTCCGTTAAATTGCCTCAAAATAATGTATTACTTGTGACACTAGATGTGGAATCGTTATATACGAATATTCCACATGAGGGTGGTATACAAGCTATCAATTTCTTTTTACGTAACTGTTTTATGAATAAGAGTCCTAGTATTTATTGTCTGAATTATTTGACAAAATTGGTATTGACTAAAAACTTTTTCATGTACAAAAATGACTTTTTTACAGATCAAGGGAACTGCAATGGGGAGTACAATGGCCCCTAATTATGCGAATTTGTATGTTGGGCATTTTGAACATGAGTGTGTATTGAATCCTGTGATCAATTCTTTTTTACCGAACATATTTTTGTGGCGTTGATATATTGACAATATTTTTCTTATATGGTGTGGCTCGGAGAATGAATTACTTGACTTCCAACAATTTTGAAACAGTAGTAGCGAACATCTTAAATTCACCATGGATTATGATACTTGCCAAGTTAGTTTTCTTGACTTACTCATAATAAAAGATAATAATAATAATAACTTGGTGACTGATTTAAGGATAAAAATAAAATTTTACATGGTCATCGATCAGAAAGAATGCCTTTCTCGAACACATGTAAAATCGACCATTATGTGTATATTGATTATTGTTGTTGTTTTATTTTTATATTTTTCCTTTTCGCTTTCGTTCACTGGATGATTGGGTAATTTGTTTGATGAATTGTATCAGGTGTGACAGATCATGTTGATAAATTGTACTCTTCTGATCACTTGTTGTTTGCCTGACGAAGACCGTAGGGTGGAAACGTTGTGATTTTAATAAACTTCTTTTTTGAGAGCAGTAGTGGCAGTGTGCCGATTTTTGTTTATTGACAGAGATGTTAAAGGACACATGTTATGTATTGGATAATACAGCTTGTCTTTAATTTATATTAAATTAGTAAATTAGTAAGTGCTTTTTGGCCCACCTAAATAAGACTTAAGTAGGGTACAACGGGGCTAAAGGCACCTTTGATATTATTTTCCTCTAAACCACTAGATGGCACAAAAACTTAGATAGCACTTTCCAAAACATTCGCTTTTCAAGATGCACGTGTATATTTGTCTGATCCTTGACGCGATCACACGCAGCAGCGCAAAGTTAATTCTGTGCGTACTTGATCTAATATTTCATGTTTTTTAAAATGTTGTAGATTTAAGTAGCAAATTAAGAATCGCTAAAATGAATGCATATATTTTGAGACAAAAGTCTTCTTAACAATTTTCAGTTTTGTTTAAGATAATTAAGCAACAGTTTTTAAATAACGAAAGAATATGTATTTGGGGTGCATTGCCGGAGTGTTTAACAATAGATCGCCCTCTGCTGGTGGTAATGTAGTCTCCACTGCTCCATACAGCATGTCTTCTCAAGCTATGCTATTATTATAATAACACTGCATGAAAGTGTGTGTGTGTGTGTGTGTGTGTGTGTGTGTGTGTGCGTGCGTGCGTGCGTGCATGCGTGCGTGTGTGTGTGTGTTTGTGTGTGTCTGGGGAAGTGGACACAATGATTGGGGGAGATGAGAGAAGCTTTTCTTGGAAATGATATTTTGTGTGAAGAGGACAGGCTATTTGAGAGAGGAAGAGATTGGTTAGTGGAGAGGGGTATTACATGAAGGGCATGTTAAAGAGAGAGTAGAGCGTTATCGAATAAATGGGACATTCACAGAAGTACAGATCAGCTGTAGGCTGATTGGTTTTCCACTCTGGATGTGGTTGTTTACTTGTGGTGAAAGGTTTGTAGGAGAGAGATGCGAGACAATGGCAATATGAAATTAAATGAAAATATTCAAGGAAGAGAAGAATAGTTTTCCAGAACGCACACAATTCTACCTAAAAAGACCAGCAGTGATCTCTTTCTTTCTTGTGGTGTTTCTGTTTATTGGTCCATCTAAACAAAGGAATGAAAGAAACTTTAGTGACACTGACCTTTTGTTTTTCTGTGTATGAAGAGGTAAAAGAGTGTATAGGGTGTGTTGTGTTTTACATTTTAGTGGGAACATACTGAAGACGGATGAACAAACATATAACATATAATAAACATATAATGAATTGAGGTATTGGATGAACAGATGGATGAACATACGGAAGGACAGATGCATGGACAAGTCTACTAAGACTAAAAATTCTCAAGTCCTGTCATGACAATAAGAAAATGTGTTTTTTTCTCTGTCTTTGTCTGTTTGTTTCAGTGAAGGTGATTGGTGGGACGCCCGTTCTCTCACTACAGGAGGAACCGGCTACATTCCCAGCAATTATGTCGCCCCTGTGGACTCAATCCAGGCTGAGGAGTAAGTGTTGGATTAGTTGTGTGTGTGTTAATCTGAACTAACTGCCTGTGTTAAGGGTGGGGGTAAAGTGATGTAATTCTAATCACTCCTACTTTAACCCATAGACCTCTCAGCAGGATGCATGACAAACCTCGGCCCACTCTAAATGAATCCAGATACAGTTGCAGTACAGGGTGGTTCCTGACTGTTATTGCTAGGCAACATTTGTGTTGTTGTTTGGGACAAATTACAAAGACACTTCCCAAAAACTGACCCATGTATTACCATTGTATCAAACCATATATGAAGATTCTTATTGAAATTATTGAATTTTGCCCTCGAAATTTTGAATGCATCCTGATTCTGTCGCTTTTGTGCCCAAATTAAATTGCAAACACAGTTTTTGGAAGCAATTTTTCCAGTCACTCCCCTATTTTGTTGTTTTGACAAACATGTAGACCCGTCCATTGGCAGAGACCACCATTGGTTGGGATAAATGTTGACATGTCAGACTTTGAAACTTGAGACTTTTAAGTCTTGAAACAGACTTGAAAACATTTCTTCAGGAACCTACAAATGAATCACACAACACCATTACTGTACTTAAAGATGTGATTCATGAAGAGTTTAATTATTCTATTATTATTGATTGATATAAATTTTTTCAAACTAAAGTAAACTAGTGTATGACTATAAAATTAGAATTTTGAGTGAATTATTCTTTTACCGATTTTGGTTTCTAAGTGGTTCTGTTGTGTTGTGCTGTATGCTTTTAGTTCGCTAAGAAAAATTGGCATAAAAATGAAGAAATGGCTCATAAAATTCATTGGTTCTATAATCGGCAACATTGGTTGTGCTGTTTAGCTCTGTAGATTGAGTAACTGTGTTTCATTCCAGGCTGCAGCAAAGTCAGATTGTGCAGAGGACTCAACTGGTCCCTGTGGTCTTGTCCACACAACACCATTACTGTACTTAAAGATGTGATTCATGAAGAGTTTAATTATTCTATTATTATTGATTGATATAAATTTTTTCAAACTAAAGTAAACTAGTGCATGACTATAAAATTAGAATTTTGAGTGAATTATTCTTTCACCGATTTTGGTTTCTAAGTGGTTCTGTTGTGTTGTGCTGTATGCTTTTAGTTCGCTAAGAAAAATTGGCATAAAAATGAAGAAATGGCTCATAAAATTCATTGGTTCTATAATCGGCAACATTGGTTGTGCTGTTTAGCTCTGTAGATTGAGTAACTGTGTTTCTGTTCCATCGTAGTGCAGGAAACTGCATTCAAGGTTTAAAAAAAATGGTATAGAGTGCAACAGGCGAGTTCTGCAAGTACAAAAACCATTCATTTTGTCCATAGGGGAGCTAAATTTGTTTTAACAATTTGTAAAACATTAAATAAAAACCGAGGATGTCGCAAGGTTGTTAATCAATGTTAATCAATATTACTTTTTAAAATCATAATTCCTAGTGGAAAAACTACATTACCAATGATTGTGCAAAGAAATCGCAAAAAATAGCCACACACTCCCACGAAGCACTGCGAATAACTAAATTGAGTTGGTTTCCCTTGACTATCAAAATAATAAACATAATGTATGATAAATATATACATAATCGACATCCTCAAATCAGTAATTTTATATGTATCCATCATTTTTAATTAAATTGTATCAAATTTGGCACTTATTGGGATTGTACTTCTTAAGCCATTAGCTACAAAGTCTTTTACATTTGTCCTTTTGTTGGATTTTTACAACAGTTCTTCTAGAACCTAGTGGAACCAGTGAAAAACAATCTGTTCTCTGTTCTCACCCCTAACTGTGCTACACACAACACCATCTACTGCATTGCACAGCACTACACTACACTATTTAGCACACTGCACAGTATTACTGCACTACAGACGCACTTCTGTTTTGTGTCTGTGTGGCAGGTGCCTTCTCTTTGTCTATCCGGGACTGGGACGATGTGAAGGGGGACCACGTGAAACATTATAAAATCCGTAAACTGGACAGTGGAGGATATTACATCACCACTAGAGCTCAGTTTGAGACGCTTCAACAGCTGGTCCAGCATTACACGGGTAACACACATAGACACGCTTCTCATTCCACAGAGCTCAGTATATCTCATTTCATAGTCTGACATGCAAAATGATTGTAAGTAATTATAGTTTTAACTTAGAGGCATGGTTATATATCCCATAATGCCATTCACAGTGCTTTTACAGCTCTCTACAGGAGGCGGCACTGCTCCAGTCATCTGAATAGCTCTCAATAGGATGTACTTTGCCTATGCTCCAGTTAACATATCGACTGTTAATGCATCTAGAATGAGTCGTATGGATTTTAGATAGCGTGTGCACTTTGCTTCTTCCTTGACTTCCCATACTGAGCCCAGAGAACAAACATACACACAGATACTTCTAATAATACATCCTCATGATGACCTTAACTGTGTATCAGCATCAGTTGCTGTGTTGATGCTACTCTAAAGTGTTTGCTTTGGCTTGACACGTTCTCATTGTTGACCATCTTCGCTTTCAGAAGCAGAGCTTTGTGTTTGTCTCTGTAATGTTCCCTGTTACGGCAGTGCATTTAAAGAAGACTCTGCAGTCTGTTTCTTCATTTGCTTCGATAGCTTGGTTCCACCGCCCAGCCCTGTCCTCTGGTCTCTTGTCACATTGTATTATTTGGCGCATCTGAATCGTAAATGTGAAAAAAACAACAACTGTAGCTAGGTAAGAACTCGGGATGGGTGAAAATCAATTCAGAAATCCATCATTACTCTCTCTCATCCATTCTGTATGGATCCACAAAAAATGCATGATCATAATTTAAAATCAAAATTATTAATAATACTGTTTTGTTTTTTGAAAAGTCAAATGCAGGACAAAATATGACATGTGCTATGCAGTGTGTATCATCTGCAGAGGCATTTATAGCTTAAAAATGTGAAACAAGAGCTCTCTGATAGCCTAGCGGGTTATCTACTGTGCGGCAGGGCCAGCTGCTCTCTAAAGCTGTGTCAAAGAGGATCTGCCTGTATGTGACTCACCCAGAATCTGAGTCACACTAGGGGGTTAGTGAGATCAGGGAAGCTCCCTATGCACTTTCAGTACAGGACACTACATACAAATATATTTGAAACAAAGTTTAAGTTCGCTCTAATGGGGCATTTCATTTATGCAAAAACTTCAGAGCTGCATTTGAGATCATTATTGGACCCCTGTCATTGTTCATGCTTATAATAGACATATGATAGTGTAAACATTTAGTTTCGGAAACACCAATTCGTTCACCGACATGTCACTAAAGACATTGTAATTCATCATCCAAATGAATCGAGCGGTTTAGTCCAAGTCTTCTGAAATGAACGTATCCGATTCACATCAGATCTATTTCCACATAATGAATGAGGCCTGAAACCGATCTGAGACGGATCAGAATCCATGTGCTTTTTGTGGGTCATATCTCTGCCACATGGGAGGAAAATCGGAATTGGGTCACTTGTGCCATGTACTGTAGTGTAAATGCGGCCTATGATGCACAAATTTAATTTAGGCTTTTATTAACATATAAACACTGATCTTTCGCATATTAAAAAAAAAGTGAAGTGACGTGACATGTGGCCAAGTATGACCCATACTCGGAATTAGTGCTCTGCATTTACCTATCCAAAGTGCACACACACAGCAGTGAACACACACAAACCGTGAACACACACCCGGAGCAGTGGGCAGCCATTTTATGCTGCGGCGCCCGGGGAGCAGTTGGGGGTTCGGTGCCTTGCTCAAGGGCACCTCAGTCGTGGTATTGAAGGTGGGAGAGAGCACTGTACATTCACTCCCCCCACCTACAATTCCTGCTGGTACGAGCCTCAAACCCACAACCTTTGGGTTATGAGTCCGACTCTCTAACCATTAGGCCACGACTTCCCCATACATGGATCATATAAGATATGGCAAACAAGCTCTCAAATATGCTTGCTTGATGTACAAGAACTAGTGAGGTTTGTTCTTACATGTCAGGTAAGTAATGCTTGGACTTTCAATGGCGTATCAGAAATGTCATTAAAAATATCTTTGTGTTTCAAAGATTAATGAAAATGCATGGTTTCAGAATGACGAGAGTCAATGAAAGTAAATGATGACAGAATTTCCATTTTTGGTTGAACTATCCCTTTAAGAAATCCATTATACTAAAATAGGCTAATTATATGGTTACTTTAATACCAGTTTGGTCCCATACTGCATTCTACATGAAACATAGCCCGGAAATCATTTTAAAATGGACTGGTGTGTGGCACTTTGTCATGTAGTCAAACTTTAAATCAGGAGTGCTTAGTCCGGTTCCTGGAGATCTACCTTCAGCTCCAACCCTGATCCAACACAACTGAACCAACTAATAATGGTCTTCAGGAGCACTTGATAATTACAGACAGGTGTGTTTGATCAGGGTTGAAACTGATGTTGATGGCTGATGAGGCTGATGAGGCTCTGGTTCCTCAAGCTCAGAGCAGATGGTACTCAATGACTGATTCCTGAAATGATGCATCTATTGGTGCCAAGTGTTCTGTTATCTCAGCTTTACAGTCCGGAGTAAATATTCCTTTAGTGTTGTAGGAAAATGCCACACATTAACCCTTTGCAAAATGTCAAAACATGCCCAAAAGGCATGACCTACATTATCGCCAGTCAATAAGGTGCAAACATCTCAAAGGAAGCTACAAAACAGTCCAGACTGAATGATTATTGCTAACCATTACTGTTTTTCAATCAGTTACCAGTAGGGCTGGGCAATATGGCCAAAAAAAATTACCACAATAATTATTTTTTTCATATCAGTCGATATCGATAATTATCACGATATACAGTATGTGTAAAATTTTTCTTTCTTTCAAATTTAAAGGCATATTTTTGCTACAAAGTGAAAGTTGTCAAAACCAGACCGTTAATTGTGGTCTTAAACTACTCTTTATGGTCAGAACATGGTAAATACTTCATGTTTTTAAATTCTTTACACTTTTGAATTATTTTACACTTTTATTTACACTTTTTATTTTTCTTTAATGAAATAAATATCTTAATAGAACAAAAAAATTATTTCTTAGTTTCTGCATGTTCTAATGAGTAATATTGTTTCAAATCAAGAAACAGGTTTGTGTTGCCTGATAATATTAATTATAATATTACATTTTTTTTGTCCCTTAGAAATGCACATTTGATAGAAGCTTGCGTTAGGATGCAGATGCAGAGTTATGTTTATTATCAAAATCAGTATCATCTGCAACAATTGCAGCAACCACATTTTGTATTGCCTAATTAATTAATTCAGTTTGAGTTTTTTTTTTAATTAGCCATTGGTCTTCCATAGTAGCATACATTTTGATCATGATAATCACAGTTAAAACCACAAGTATAGCACCTCAATACCATGGTAAAAATGTAGGCTATATGGTCTCTAGGTATTTGTATGAAAAACAGTAATCTAAATACATTTAGTAAAAATGCTCCTTTAATACATTTAATACATGTCTACAATAATAATGAAATTCAATACGAATACCCACATTTCTGACACAATACCATGGTGCTGTTAGTGTTACTGGAGTAAATCTATGGTAAATGATGGCGATTTGTAGATTGAAAAGTCTTCTGACTGTATCATTGTGCACAGTGTTTCTCCTTGTATCAGCGCTGTTTCATCTGGCTTTAAACTAGTGTTTTTCGCTGAATTCAAGCGCTGTCATCAATCTGCTCTAGTGAGCTCGCAACCGCTGCGCTGCTGTTTGAACTTTGAGTCGAGCGGATAAACGGTACGTGTGGTGCGCTTCAAATGAGTTGTGCTGATTTGTTCCGCTTTTAAACAATATATCGAACATTTATCAAACTCTTCTTATGATTTTATTGAGGAAAATTATATCGCGATAATTATCGTTATCGATTTATCGCCCAGCCCTAGTTACCAGGTTCTAGTTGTTGTTGTTGCTGTTGTTGTTATTGTTTTGTTCAAGAAGCCAACAAGTCTTTGTCACAAAGTGAAAGAAATCATTAAGTGATTCACAAACAAGTGCAGATGCCACTGAAAGAAACATGCAACATGGGTTCACAAGCGATACAAATTGCACACTATTTGCAGGCGTGATGCTAAAACTCTTCACTGCTTCCTTCAGTGCTTCTGATGCTCGTCTTTTCTCTCTCTCTCTGACACTGTGTGTATCTGTATATGTCTGTGTGCACACGCTCAGAGCGGGCAGCGGGGCTTTGCTGTCGTTTGGTCGTCCCTTGCCACAAAGGGATGCCAAGGCTCACTGACCTGTCTGTCAAAACCAAAGACGTGTGGGAGATTCCACGGGAGTCGCTTCAACTCATTAAGCGCTTAGGCAACGGCCAGTTCGGGGAGGTTTGGATTGGTATGGCTCCTATCACAGCGCTAAGCAACAGCCAACCACGAGTGTGTTTCCCAGAGGCATCGTTAGCCAACTATGGTCACAAGTTCCATTGAAATCTATTGGTAATTACGGAACTTGCGACCACAGTTGCTTTTGGGAAACGTACCCCAGAGAGGGAGATGGAGTGAGGTCAAAGTGAGGGGTGGAGTTACTTTACAAACGTCTGGATATGTAAGCTAATTTATTTAAACCAATCTTCCAGGTTCAATATATGTTAAACTCTAACAAAAGCATTTGTGGCATGACGATTGCAAAGTTATCCTTCTGGCTTTTAAACAACACACTCTTGTGGATGTAAGGTGGGTCAATGTGTGCATCCATTTCTGGAATATTCAGACATCCTGAAGTGACCGACCCTCTCAGGACAAGTGACCACCCTCCTTCTCTCTCATTGCATGTTCCCCCGTCGTCCTGCTAGTTAACCCCTCTACTCCTCCTCCTTTATAGAGAGTGCAGATGGTTTGTGCTTTAATTTAACGGGTGTGTGCATGGTCTACATCCCTGATACGGTGGGACTTAGCTATGACTCCTGGGAAATCGCACGCGAGTCTCTGATGCTGGACAGGAAGCTGGGGGCCGGCTGTTTCGCTGAAGTCTGGTGTGGTAAGACAGTTCACACATTCTCTGATTCCACACAAACGTAGGCTTTAAATGAAGATTTCAGAGAAGCATTTTCATCTAATCCTGTTAGTTATACAGTAGTTATACAGTATATTAGCTCTGTGAATTAGGTCTTAACTCTCTGGGGTCTGAGGAGGTTTTGGGGCCCTTGAGAAGTATTGACATGCACTGACATTTGTGCTTTTTTTCAGTTTCTTATAAACATATTAATGGCTAAACGGATTTCACGCATTCAGTGCAAACTGGGTTACACTCTTAAAAATAAAGGTGCTTCACGATGCCATAGAAGAACCTTTTTGTCTAAATGGTTCCATAAAGAACCTTTAACATCTGAAGAACCTTTCTGTTTGACAAAAGGTTCTTTGTGACGAAAGAAGGTTCTTCAGATTATAAAAAGATAAGAAAGAGATGGTTCTTTAAAGAGCCTTTGACTGAATGGTTCTTTGTGGAACCAAAAATGGTTCTTCTATGGCATCGCTTGAAGAACCTTTTGAAGCACCTTTATTTTTAAGAGTGTACAATAATATAATAATAATAATTAATAGTAATAGCAGCCTAATAAACCTCCTGCTGTGTAATTAATGTTAATCAAATCAAACAACAAAATAAAGATATAAAATCACTCACTGTTCTCAAATTAATACTTTTTGTAGCGTTAATAAAAGTCACTATATTTCATTCATACAGTGTTGTATTTTACATTTGCTTACTTTATTCAGTTTCTGTATGTTTCTCACCTGAATAGCTTAATGTTATAGACAGACTTACCTGAAAAATTTAAAGCCATGTTTACTTCATTTTATATCTTTCTTCTGATGTATTAATTTGTTCCACTGCTTATCAGATGTTTCTTTGTTCTGACTCTTCTTGTTTGTCTTCAATAAGTTTGACAGTAACTTGCAAAACAAGCCCTATATGCATTGGATTAGTATTACCTGGTGACCTCCAGTCATTTGTAATAACTGCGGAGATTGTCTGTGATCTTAGTCCCATGCGAATCGGCCATGTCTGTAATTTGTAAAGTAAAAATTGTACCATATTTCACCAAACACAGAGGTCCTGTTATAATATTAGTCCCGTGTGAATTGGCATCTATGTGATTTAGCTGGATCCTATATCATTTTTTTCAAGGTTTTTGTTTCCTGTGTGGCTTTTTATCCTTCTTTCATGAAGAATTGAGGCTGCGTTGGAGTGTTTTGGTAGTATTTTGGGTGCTGGGTCATATAGCTATCTACACTCTTAAAAATAAAGGTGCTTCAGAAGGTTCTTCAAGCGATGCCATAGAAGAACCATTTTTGGTTCCACAAAGAACCATTCAGTCAAAAGTTCTTTAAAGAACCATCTCTTTCTTACCTTTTGGTAATCTGAAGAACCTTATTTCGCCACAAAGAACCTTTTGTGAAACAGAAAGGTTCTTCAGATGTTAAAGGTTCTTTATTGAACCATTTAGATAAAAAGGTTCTTCTATGGCATCGTGAAGCACCTTTATTTTTAAGAGTGTACAATTATACAAATTGTAGAAAGCGAAAGCTGAAAAACATCAGAAAAAGGATTAGATGGAGATGGATGACATGTACAGCAGCACAGTAGGGAACACTCTCCTGTTTATGATATATAATGTTACGCAATCCTTGACATCATATCCGGGAGATAAGTCAGTAAATTTGAGTAAGATCACAGGCTTCGCTTATCCCGTGCGAATGCGCCACACGGAATTCAGATGTGAGGGGTGTGATTTCTAAATCACACAAGTTCCCCAGATAATACTATCCCGTGCGAATAGGGCTATAGTCTTAAAAACCAGCATGAAATTTTTTTTTATAAAACTACATAAGTTTGTAAGCAGTGCCAATCCGGGGGGGGTTATGAGTGGTTATGAACGAATGAATGAAACGCATTTGTCTTGAATGGCGCTCGCGGAAAGCGCTTGGGAAACAGTGTCTCTTCCGTGGCTTTGTACACATTCAACTCGTATTTTTAGTCTCGAGCAAAACTGTACGACATTCACATTACATGATTTGACTGATTTTTACATGGAAAGGGCGATAGCGCACCGCATTAAAAGAAATGATCATTCATGTTTTCATAACCGCTGGCCAAATTAAAAAACTCATCTTTGAGAGCAAGGGGGCCCCCTGGTGTTTCGGGGGCCCTACGCAACTTGCGTATTTTGCGTATAGGGAGGATCGGCTCTGTTTGTAAGTCTATAAAAATCAAGAAATTATATTTTTGCCACATCACCCACCCCTAATTTTTGGTGGTTTTTTTTTAAATCATGGTTATTATGATCTGTTGTAAAAGAGCAGTTTAAAGATTCTTCAAAATTTCTCTTATTGCACACAGGTTTGGAGGGTGAGCAGACAATACAATATTTTCATTTTCATGAGAACTATTTCTCTTATTAACGTATTAATGAATTAGTCCAGAGCGATCTTGCATCAAGTCTTTGGTTTTATCCCTTCATTTTTGCCAGAAACCCGTGTCTTTTTATCCATACCATGCACAAGGATTAGATGAAAATGTAAACTTGTCATTGTCAAAAAGACAATGAAGTTGTTTTTTCACAAGAACAACCCTTCCTCGAGGGACAAACTAGAGCTAATTTCTGCACACATTTTTCAAATACTGATTTGTTTTAATAATTATTGTAAGAGCTTCAGTGATGTTGTTACCATGCCAGTGAATGGAGGTAAGAAAAAGGACAGTAAGTATCAAGTTGAATCACGGGTGTTTATCATGACTAATGCCCCAGGAGAGTTTTTCTTCTGTTCCACACCTCTATTAATCAGTCTTGTTCAAGATATGTGTGATTGTGTGCTCATCCATCACTTTCTCACTCACTTTCCTGTAGATTTGCATCCAAAAATATCACCTGAATCTGCCTATTATAATTATTGCCTTTAGGACACTGCTGGTATTTCGTTTTTAATGAATAGAGGCACACAGATCAGTATGTGTGTGTGTGTGTGTGTGTGAGTGTGTGTGTGTGTGTGTGTGAGTGTGAGTGTGTGAGTGTGAGTGTGAGCATGTGCAGATTTTAAAAACCAGGTACCACATCAGATGTAACCGTTTGAGTACCACCTTGGCATTGCCTGCAAGTAAACATGAGATGATGTTTGTAACATTTTCTTCAGTAATCTGAAGTATTTCAAATTGAAAAAAAGATATTCAATGGACAGAAAAATGAAAAGCACTTTAATTATTATAAAAACTAATCTCCGTCTTTTGTCCAGCCCAAAGCTCTTGTCGCTGGTTGAGCCATGTGGCAGAGTTCTGGCTTGGTTGGGATCTTCAGATGTCTCTATTAATCTAGGATTGCAGAAGGTATTTTAATACCCAATAAATTACAAACTTCAAATTGTCAGAATATCCACCATTGCAGTGTCGTGTAAAGGCAAGCAGATTCCAGTGCTGTGGATTTAACAAAGTTGTTGTTTTTTTCCTGTCTGTTGAAATTCCCCACTATATCCTGCAGGAAAACAGCCACAAATCACAAGTATAATGTGATCACACACACACACACACACACAAAAAACAAATTTGCGTTGATTTGCCTAATTCCTCATTTAAGAGGGCTAAAACAATATAGAAAGTAAATACAAATAGACAATGCTATAAATGGGCACAATTCATTCATAGTGAATTCCCCATCAGTGTACTTGTGTGATAATGGCTGCTTTAATTGCAAATTAATTTTGCATGAACGAGGGGGCTGAACTTTTTTTGGGGGTGCATGAATGTCATTTTGTGGCATACTGTTCCTCTAGGAGCTTTGTGCAGTTGCATTGACTCTCTGATGTGTGGTCTCTGTCAGGCACGTGGAATGGCAACACTAAAGTGGCTGTGAAGACCCTCAAGCCGGGAACCATGTCTCCAGAGTCCTTCCTGGAGGAAGCGCAGATCATGAAGAAATTACGCCATGATAAACTAGTGCAGCTCTACGCTGTCGTTTCTGAGGAGCCCATCTACATCGTCACTGAGTACATGGGAAAAGGTCAGCCGTCGTTCTCATAGTAAAAGTGAAGAGAATGGGTTAACTTGAGGACAGGCATGGAATGTATCTATTTTAGCAACACTGATGGGTTTTGTAGGCCTGACTGAAAAAAAAATCCAATTAAAGATAAATCAGGATTGAAGGTTGATGTTCTAACCCTTAGAAATTGTCACTTGAGGACTCAAAACACTCTGCTGTACTGGACAGAAAGAAAAAGAAATTCTGTTAGGACCACTATCGTCAAAATGATAGATACTTAGCATAAAGTTTGGTTTGGCGGTATGGTTCTGTTCTGGGCAAAAAACCTCCCTGCCCATCCATGCAGCCTGTCATGAATGAGCAGGGAGAGGGGCAATAATAACCCCCCCAGGGTTAACAGAACAGAACAAGGCAGATATCATTAATGTACTCAATGATATTTAAGTGTAACACTTTATTCAAGATAAAGGAGTCTGATTAGCAAGGAATATCAGAAAGCTAAGTCCTGACTGTGGCGAAAGGTGGAGCTGGGGATGGAGGGGGGTAATTTGCTCTGACGCATGCTGGGAGGCTGCTGAATAATACTGAATACAGCTTATATAGGAATGCCGCGATAGGTGTCGTATTCCTATAGGGAGATGTGATCAGCTGAGAATCAGCTGATGCAAGCTTGACTCACGTGACCTGCCAGAACTAACGCTAAAGCTTGATTTAAAGTGGGCTAAATTGAATTTGAAGAGCTGTAATGGAGGAAGCAGACATTTAAGCTAATACTGCTAGAAAACCTAATGGACAGTTGATGGGAAAATTCCTGAACTCCACACATATGTTATTCGGCATCAAAACATAATTTAGGCAAGGCCATAATCCACCCTCTCTTAGAAGTAACATGTTTTTTTTACATGTAAGTTTAAACGGGTGTTTTTGTTTTGTTTATAGTGTATTAAAACCTGGAAAAAGTTCAAAGTAAATCTCTCCCTAATCAGTGTAGTTGTTTGAAATTGGCTGTTTTAAATGAATGAATTTTGCATACGCTTTATTGAAGATTACGCAGGTACACTCTTAAAAATAAAGGTGCTTAAAAGGTTCTTCACAGCGATGCCATAGAAATACCATTTTTGGTTCCACAAAGAACCATTCAGTCAAAGGTTCTTTATAGAACCGTCTTTTTCTTACCTTTTTATAATCTGAAGAACCTTCTTTCGCCACAAAGAACCTTCTGTGAAACAGAAAGGTTCTTCAGATGTTAAAGGTTCTTTATGGAACCATTTAGACAAAAAAGGTTCTTCTATGGCATCGTGAAGCACCTTTATTTTTAAGAGTGTATGTGTGTACACATGTGCTTATAGCAGCATGCCCCTTGTTTTGCTGAAGCTAACATGTGTATGTTGTATGTTTTAGGAAGTCTTCTAGATTTCCTGAAGGACGGGGAGGGACGGGCACTCAAGCTGCCCAACATCGTCGACATGGCGGCCCAGGTACAGCAACATCATTTAAACCTGATCTACAGTGGTCCCAGAAAATATTTAGACACTATTAAAAAACAGCAAACCACCATTTATTTCAAAGAAAGATAAAAATAGGTATACTACTTAAAATAGTTTTTGGGGCCACAGAAGATCAATGATGTAACAAATACAGGAGGATGAAAATAACCCTGCTTTAAATCACTCAGTCTGAAAAGAATCTGTTCTGGCCCCTATTGTGTGTATGAAGTTATTGTTTTATTATATGTAGGTACCCTATCATGCTGTATCAGCACTGTAACACACAGAATGCAATATTTCTTAGTTTGACCTCAAGTAGCTTCAGCACTAGGCTTTGCTCAGCAGATTTCAGTGTAAGTGTTTGTGTATTCAGGTGGCTGCAGGTATGGCCTACATCGAGCGAATGAACTACATACACAGAGATTTGCGCTCTGCTAACATTCTGGTTGGTGATAACCTGGTGTGTAAGATCGCTGACTTTGGCCTGGCCAGACTCATTGAGGACAATGAGTACACTGCCCGACAGGGTAAGAAACACACCATCTGGACACATACATATATGTATCCCCCCATCCTAAAGAAATAGTTGAGTCTTTCATCATGTTGTTCCAGAAGTCAGCATTTTTCAGTGGAACACAAAGGTAGAATTGTGACCCGTGTAGGGTTGGGAATCGAAAATCGATTCCAATTCCAGAATCGGATACTTGTTGTAAAATTTAAATTTCGATTCCACCTATCGATTCCTATGCGCTTTTTTTTTTCAATTCATCTGTGAGGACCCGGCCAAGCGATCTGCCAGGACCTTGCTCGCTAATCTAAACCAATCTAAATGCTACAAAGTTTGGCTACATTTGCGATCAGAAGCCAAAAAAGCTAAGTATAATATCTGTGAAAGCTAAACATGTTGCAAGAGAACCCTCTACGCACACCTTGGCAATATAATCGCCATTGGCTAGTAAAATGTTTTGTTTACTCGCCAGACTGATATACTATTTTACACACACACACACACACACGTTTACTTAGCTATCTAAATGGTAAAATAGAGTAAATTACCTTTTGAAAGTAATTTGACACTTCAAATGAAGATTTAGCGATTACATCGTTACGCCAGTAGGTGGCGAAAAGGGGCTGTTAAAATGTATTTGTCTTTGACAAGAGATTCGAGATTCGTTCAAGAACGCTGATTCATCCAGTAATGAAACAAGTACATCTTGAGTGAGTCATTGAATCATTTATTCATAAATTACA